TCATTTTTAATTCTTTCCTTTTTGTTAACTGCTCCTTTTAGTCAATTGTCCCAATGGGCGTATTCACTCTCACAACCAAGAATTTGCTATAGAAATGTGTCTACATATCACATTAAATTTTATTCAACGCGTTTTTACTTCGTGCGTATGGGATGATAAATTATTACTCATCCCTCTTCATATTTTCCGCCCTGATATTATGTTTAACAATTGCTGTAAGTAGTAAGTTTTACGTATCAATGCTACACATATATTTTAACATTTATACAACAATAGGTAAAATATTAGAAGAGTAAAATTGCTGGGCGCGTTACAACATAAAATAAACAACTCCAAACGGAGTGGAGGTGAGAGCCATTTTGTATCATATACATATTAAAAAGGATGAAACAATGCACATGTTGCAGATGGGTTAAAATTTTATTATTAGAAACTCTTTAATATAACCATCTAGCAATTATGCAGCATATTGGGGTCGATTTTTTTTTAAAAGCATTCCCCCAATATTTTCTATAATTTTCTTCTTTATGGTTTTCATTAATTCTAAATGTAACACAATTATAATTTTAACATAGGATATTTTTCTCTATATTCACTAAATGGGCGTTACTAGCTCGGGGGTGCATGAACTAGCAGTCCTGTTAGATGATTCTACAAAGGTGGTGGGAAAAGCAACCATCGGGTATAATTATAAAGTCGTCGGAAAACCGAGAAAAAAAGGAAAATATCGGCTACGAGAGGTTCACGAAGCTTTAGCTATCATAGTATTCCTTTTCTCTTTTCATTAATAAATGCATGAGCAAAAAACATGAGAAGAAAAAATAAGCAAAATCCTTTTCTGGAATACATCTATACATACGTCTCGTACGTGAGGATTACACTGTGTAAATATATATACTTGTCTTTTTCCGTAATTTTTATATTTATCTCTATATAAACACATAGTAAAGTGAGTATGGTATCAGTAATACACCGACTGATAATATATGGCTTTAGGAATGTATCAAATAATTCGTTCACTATTTTTTTCATCCTACTTGTAATATTATTGCTAAGTATTCATTCAAATTTATACTATTCGGTTATATAGGACGTCATAGTTGTACGAATATGCAACCATGGAATACATTTTATTGAAGCAACATTCCATTCATCATATATATGCCATGATATATCCATTCCGTCCTATGTCGTAAATTTGACATCTCACTCAATGTGGGCTATTCCTTTAGTGTAAAAAATCAAATATTCACAAGGAAATTAATCATGAGAACGTGAATTACAATCAATTTAATGAAAGGAATTATAAATAATTAATAGACCCGGCATATAAGGTAGGCGCAATTAAAACCAAGGACATTTTTGAAAGGACAAGTAAGGAAAATGTTCGTTTATCATAACGTTGCAAAGGGCCTAATGCGTTACGAAAGAATGAGAAATTGGACTACGCTAGTGTATGAGTAGCTCAAATCTGAATATAACACATTATGGGAAAACAAATTTCAGAAACAGTGAACAAAGCAGAAGTTCGATTATTGAAGAGTAAACAAATATACTTCAACTGAGGTCCACATGGATGCTTCGGAATTATGAGTTCACCTGAGGCACAGACTGAGCTTATATGCAGAAGCAGAGATGCATGAGTATAAATGTGGTTTAGAGAAAAAACTCTAATTGGGATATTACACCACCATTTGTCTCTCCTATTCATGCAGTATGAAAAAGTAGATTCTTCTCCCGACGTAATGAAATGTTCATGGCCAATTCTGTGCTTAATTAGAAATTAAGAAAATGCCTTTTAATTGTGCAATTGAGGGAGCAATCATATTTTCCTCTAATAAATATTTGCTGATTTCTTCCCATCCTGAATTAGATATGCATAATGAATGAACATATATGCACAAAGGTAAAGCAATTTAGGAAAGGCAAAGGTGCGTTCCGTTGTTTCATCCATATACAAAATTCTACTCTTCTTTGACAGAATACGTAGCTGCCCTTAACCGTATTTGTCATGAACCATTAAAGTTACATTATATGTTATATGTAATTGAAGAAATGTATCTACTTCATTATTATTACATGTCATAATCCAGTAGGAACAGCTGTACCCAGAGGAAACCTAAGAATGAATAGGCCCCGCTTACGTAAATAGCTGCAGAAAATATAGCGTAGAGAAAACTGTGAGACAAATAATTATAACTTCAAGTAGTCAAACATTCTGGCACATTATGCGGCACCAGAAGGATCACTGCACACTACTGAATAGAAGCACGTGCGCCTTTTATTGGGTAAATATAACATAATGAGCTATCAAATGTCAGCTTGTCCCCTCCTGTCAAATTGGAATTAAAGGAAACAATCCGAATTGTGCTCGAAAAATATATACACATATGTATAGATAGGTGTAATCGTCAAAGAATACATATAATATACTATTACACTTCACAATTGTGTACAGCGACTTCCCACAAAACGGTGAGACTCCAATTACTACAAATCCTTGTACATTCGAATGTCACGATTTGTAAAGTTCCCTTTGAGGTAAATGTATGGCACGAAGCATGAACGAGTACTGACTCAGTCAGTGCACAAATTCGGTGATACTGATTTTGTCTTTTGGGATAGAGGTATCACTCGCGAGGTGTGCCCATTTTTCTAACAAACGTGTTAATGTCAAATAGACAGAGGTTTTTGAATGGTATAGAGAACGTAGATCGTTTTCAGCACGTTATATTAATAATATAAATAGAGAAAATTTATGGTGAGTACAGGGAATACAATATTTGGATGCACATATTAATAAAAGAAAAAATAAATATCGAATAAGAAAAGGTATGATTGAACACCCTTCCCATAGTTCATGTAAGTTCCGTAAGAATTGATATCAAGGTTACCACAGCTGAACAATACCACTCCGGATAAATGGGGACTTCCCATGGTATTTCCTAACATTATAATATTTCACAAGATTCAACTGCGGGAAGAAAGACGGGTTAGAAAAGTTTTTCTAAAGTCACCGTGCAGTATTCTTCATATGACTATTCCTAAGAAAAAGAATATGAGTGGGTATCTAGGTTAAAAAGAGGTGTTTTTCGCAATTATGGACTACTGCAGATTGACGAATTTTTGGTTTAAATGGGCATCATAAGATAAAGGGTAATACAATATTAATAAGAAAGCGGTAACTATATCAGTAACACAATAATATCAGGTCAATACGTCCTTAAAAGGAAAAAAAAAAAAAAGAAAAAAGAAAAATCTTTCCTTCTGTGAAAAGTTAATTCAACATTGCAAGAAGCAAAATTGAATTTCTATTAATATCATTGAAGATATATTTATAATCGCTTTTTGATGAATATTAGGTATCGAATTAAATGAAGCAAATAAATATCATATAGGAAACAAATAGATATGTAGTTCTCATTATGTAATGATAAAATTAACGCTATTTTTAAGAATTTAACAGAAAAAAAAAACACAAGTTCCTAATGTTCTAACATTATGCTTGTGTTTTCTACATATAAACAACGGTACAATTAAATATGTAAAAACACACTAACAACCCAAGTATTTATGAAATTTTCATAAAAAAGAAAACACAGGGGATATAATGGTTTAATTATGTACTTTTTAAGAGTGCATTAAGAAATTAATTTTCATTGTAATGATGTTGAAGCAAGAAGATATGATACGTATACAAACATCATAGATAAAAGACGAGGTGCAAATTTAGAAGAAAGGAACAAAAAAAAATGGTATAATCAATTTTAGCAGCGCATATAAATGTGTATACAACACATGTCCTCGTATATACGCATATGAGCATTATCCATAACGACGAAAACATTATCATATTCATGTACAAAACATACTTTTTTCCCCCATATAATAAGGAAGATACCCCCCAAAAAAAATGCGGACAAAAACCGTCCTAATTGAACAGAAACAATAGAGTTCCTCCTCCGGATAGGAACCTTAAAGAGCGATAGCTGAATTGTATGTGAAAATTACGGATCATCACCTTGAAAATTACATCTTCAAGTTAGACCTACGGTTACAGATAAATTCTTGTGCCAATTTTTTAAAAACCATTCGGTTACACTTTTCCCCGTTTATCCTCGTTATATTTATGGCAGAAGCTAATGTATTCGAGAAAATTCACAATAAATGATAACTTTTATTTCTTTTAACCATTTTTTCTATGGTTCTTCCGCTGCTCCTTTCTTTTGAGTGCGGCACTATCTGTACTAATTATCCTTCCGTAGTCGCATTAAAATATAACATTCCCTGTGTTATCTACTTTATTTCCTGAATTCTGTGGGCTGGAGTTTTTCCTTAGTACAATTTTCTTCTACATACTAATTTCTTCTTATTAAGCCACACATACCATTGCTTCTCCTTTATCCAGGTGCCCAGTGTCCTTTCTTTCCAATCCTCAAACATTTTGGTCTTTTCAGATTTCCATTTTATCCATGGCACAACATCTTTATTGAGAAATTCGTTCCTTTTCTGTTCGATAGACATGTTCCATTGTTTCTGTTCTCTATCTGTTCTTTCTTTCCATAGGTTCCAATTTTTTCTATCAGTAGATATTCTCGATTTATGTCCTGACCCTTCCGCTTCCCAATTGGCCCAATATTCGTTTTCTTCAGTTTTCCACTTTTCTTGTTCCCATTCCATTATTCTTTTACTTACCCATTTATCAAAATTGTCCATCATCCAATTAGCTAATTTGTATTGATCTTCATCAATCCAATATTCCCAATCCTTGTCCATACATTCCCTTATTGGTGTATTAATCCACTCTTTCCATTGCTCAGTGGTCCAACTTGACTTCTGTTGAAAAACATCAAGTATGTATTCATCTCCCGAAGTTCCGAAGGGTTTCATCGATTTCTTTTTCATGACTTTAATCCATTTTTTCCATTGAGAATCTGTCCATTTTAAGGAACGTTTTATCACCTCAAGTACATACTCGTCCATATTTTTGTTGTAATATTCCCATCTATTTTTCATTGCTCTTATCCATGCATCCCATTCCAGTTCTTTTTTTTGGAACCATGAAGAAATGAGATCGTCCATAGTTTTGTTAAATTCTACCCAGTCATCCTCCGTTTTATTCATAAAATAATTCCACTGATCCTCTTTCCATTGTTCTTGTATATCCATGGATTCGGGCCTCTTTAAACGGGTTTTTCTTGGATGGTTCCTCTTTCTCATTTCTGTTTCATATTCCTGAAAGTATTATAAAGGGTAGGAAAAAAAAAAAAAAAAAGAAAAAAAAACACACACACATGTATAAATACATATGTGGACATATGTTCTATTCAAATTTTCATATCTAACGAGAATGTATAAGTTCTGCAGTACCACATCTTTAGGCTGTTTTTTAGGTTACCTGATGTGAAGCAGCTGCCACCTTTGAAGTGGACGATAAAATACCCAGGATGCCCGGTACATAGGAGAGAATGAACATAATTTTCATTTTCAATAACGGATACCTTCAATTTAATTCTGCGTATTATTGTAAAATACCAGTGGGAAAACGAATTGTGCTATATATATATATATATGTTCGCATTCTCAGGTCGTCTCGCTGTATATATTCTAAAGACAAATAAATAACTATTTCACACGAGAAAGAACTCTATGTAAATATGAGTGCACCTAATCAAATAGCGCACATTAATGACTGTACATTTCATATTGACGCATATAGTTTAATTAGTACTATTGGAAAAGCGAATCATTAATTATGAGGGACTAAAAAACATATTATAAGTAAAAAAGAGAATAACAAAATATTGAGAACAAAGCACGAAACGCCTTATTATTATTATTACTGCTGCTGTTGTTATCTGATAAAAAAACGTCATAATTATAGTGAAAACGGAATTAATTCAAGAATATTTTATTCAAATTCACTGCCGATTTTGTTCTGCCAGAATCGATTCTATGAAGGTGACCAAAGATGTTCACGGAAACAGCATTTAATTATATATGAATTACCGCTATACATCTGTACCAGATTCAACTATGTTTAATTCGAATGTTCATAAGTCCAAGGATGTTATTTCATTTTTTTTTTTTTTTTTTTCTTAAAATTCCTTGTTACAGAAATCAAAAATGTGTTCTATAATAATATATGCATTTTTGAATTCTACATTGCTCTTTCGTACAGAAGTCGGGTTCTATGATCTACCAAAAGAGCATTACGGTTGTTTGCTCTTTTCTGAAAGTTCAGAAAAAATATTTTTATGTAGTGAGAGTCGTAAGGAAACATTTTAGATAAATACAAAACAATATTTTAGTTTTAATAATTATAATTACATCGCGCAATAACCATGCTATGTGTATAGTGAACTTAAATCTCATTCGTAGATATAACACGGCACAAACAAGAACATATATAGAAACAGAAAGTACAAATGGCTTCTAGTTCTTCATTATATACACAACTTAGAAATTAACAAAAAATAAAATTATGAAAAGTTATAAAAGCTACAAGGAGAAAGAAACAAAAAAAAATTACTATATTTATATTCAAAATATGAGTAACTTATTTAATTCATTTAAGAATTTTTCGTAAATCACCTTTTTTTCTTTTTGCGCTATATTAATGTGTGCGCAGAATAAATCAACGTAATGCGGGGGAACAGTTTAAGTTTATGATTTTTTACAAGATCCTTTGAGAAAACAGAATTAATTTAAAACGAACGCAGCAAAAACCATTAATTAAAAAAGTGCTGAACATTATATATATAATATATATTTGTTAATAAATTTTCTTATCTTTAAGAAATAAAAGTCAATGATGAATTTTTCGTATAAATTACAGTTATCAAACTCTGGCTGAACGTTTTAGCGCATTTTACCTAGGGGATAAAAGAAAAATTTGAAATTATTTAACTATTATGATCACTTTTAACGTTCTTTTTTAAATCGAACAACATGTTACTACGACTGTAAAATATTAACTCCGCAAGGGGCAAAATGCCAATATACATTAAGTAATTGGTTAAAAAATTTGCATCGACATATTGTTGAAATTTTAGTTGATCTGTTTAAAAGGTTTGATGAAATGTGAAAATTTTCTCCTTCAAATAGGATAGAGAAAACATATGTGCTAATGTTTTTCCTGCCTACTATGAATAATATAGAGCTCCTTATGGAGGAGCAGGAAATGGTAAGAATAGGACCAAAGAAATAATATTCCGAATGGCAAGAGCCATGAAAAAATTCACAAAGGGTGCACGTAGGACTGATCTGCAAAAATATGAAGATTATGAAGCACACTACTGGTGAAATGGTCAGAAATATATGTTACATAGAGACATTAATTACTACACGCAATTTGTATAATGTAGTAATTATATAATTTTGCACGATGTACGTCCTACATTCGTTTATGATTTAATTATAATATGAGGACGTTATGTTTTAATAATCACAAAGTGAAAGTGAGAAAAAATAAAGCACTCCATTAACAAATTGCGCATTTGAGGAAAAACATATTTGATGCGACCTTTTTTAATCATAAACACATTGGTCCTGTTGCTAGGAAATAACCCATACTTTTCTCATAGCACAGTGCTCAGGAAAAAATACATCATTCAGTTTTTATATATGCCCATTTGAATTAAAGCAAATCTCATTACAATAAGTGAGTACTATAAAATTTTGGAGTAGTATAACACAATTATTAAACATTAGTAATGGAATAAAACATAATCGCATGGGTGAAATGATAATTTAACGTATTTTTTACATAAAAGAAGGATTTTATTTTACTAATGTAATTTACAATGATTGTGAGTATACAGTTTGAAGATTATAATTTTCTGGACAGTCATTCCATGTGTGGAAGAATTTGAAGTGTACACTATCTCATCTATTATAGTTTTCCTTTAAAAAACCTTTTACATCAGTTTCTAACGAAGCACGGAGAAGAATAGGACATATTAATTCAATCATTGGTAAACCTCCCGAATAGAAATTTAACTAAGCAAACGATATAACATAATTCCTGTGTAACGTTTATATCATTCTAGTGAAATATGCATCACTATAATGTAACATCAAATTCTCTTATCGATCACACACCCCTCATGGACCTCTAATCTTCGGATTTTCGATAAACAGGGGAATTTTAAACTGTGAAATGAGCTCGTAATATTAATTTCCGGGGGGTACTTAAAAATTATGCGCTGAGCCAGATTATGGAACAATAAAAGACGCATGGTACTGGAACAGTGAGCTGTATCTTATCCGTGTATCCTGTTTGACAACTCAGTGCGAATAAAAATCACGACTCAAAATTTTGAAGTAATATATGTACCAAAATGATACAGTAAAGATGGATCTTAAGATGTTGGGGTAAATCTACATCAATGAAAAATTTTTACACCATGCAATAGAGGTAATGTAATAAAAAATTCGATAATACAATTTGAGATTTTACTGAGAAGTGGTTTTTAGAAGTAACGAAGAATGTCGTAAAAATTGTTTATCTGTGCCTAATAATGATAGTATCAACAGAAAAGGAACACTGAAAAAAATATACATCATTTTATCCCTAAATATGGGCAGATAGAAACATGCAACAGTTTTATCCAATTATTAGTGCAATGGAGAAATACCTTATATACTCATATATGCGCAATTATATCAAATAAAACACCGCCATTGCGTCAAGTGAGAGGTAAATTTATGACCGTCTCCACAGATTAGTGCATAATACCCAGATCGCGGTGAGATGTCTTCACATTACTAAATGAACATTCAAGTACATATATAACAATACAGTTGAATATAAAAAATTGTTATCGTACCATATTTTTACCTTTTTTTTTTCTGCATAGAAACCCGTGTGTTTTTTCTAATGATTTAAGATCAAATTTATTATTTCAAAAACCAAGAAAAAACCTATGATTTTGCACAGAAGAAATAAATCAACATTAAAACAAATCCTGAATTTAAATATATATAGGAAGTATCATATTAAGTTCAAATAGACGAAGAATTCTCAAATGTTCATTTTGTCTGATGATGAATGAGAAGCATCATAAATTATGCTATGTCGAAAACACAGAGAAAGAGGTTACACAAATGGAAACGAATATAGGTAAATATAAACTATGTTAAAACACATTTGTTCAGTTCTATTTTGTAACGTTGGTTATAACTTTAAACATTATTTGTAGAACTCTATTCGCATTTTTTGAAACAATTTCATTTCATCTTCTTATTAAGGGTGTTGGTTCTCTCTTTCTTTCTCCCTTACTTTATTAGCACTTCTGTTCCTAAATTCAGGTAGAGTATCCATTGAAATGTTATAGAACGTAGATCATTTCAACATATATGATTTACAACATTATCTCTTTTGTAGGCATTTTCCTGGGTCATCGTTCACAATGAATTCGGACATGAACCATCGATGCGTAGAATAGAAAGGAAAATAATGAAAATATTCCCCTAACATTACGTAAAGTTTTGTATTTTTTACACTTCCCCAATTAAATAAGTTAAATATATAACTACTGCTCGAGATATGGATTCCTGAATTCTTCAGTCATATACTCTTCAATGAAGTATTGCATCCATTCCTTAGACGACATCTCTTAATCATTCTTCCATTCTTCCCAATCTATGGGATTCTGAATTATATATACATTTTCGATCTTTTCTGTCAATTCTATACAATATTTTTCTTCTCTGTTGAGTTCCCCTTTCCATTTCATCCACTTGGTCATTTTTATGACATACAAATGCTCTTTCGCTGGTTTCTCCTTTTTGCACTTTGTCCAATACTTACTTTTCCCCTTTTCTTCCAGTTACTCCTGGTACATTCCTCTAATATGTTCTTCCACCAAATCTACCAATCTATTAATATCCGTCTGTATATACTCAATTCGGCTGTATTAATCCATTTTTTAAAACCATTCACTATCATCTGCTCCATTTGTGAGTTAACATCATTGAGATTTTCATTACCATTATCGTTATCATTATCATTAGGACAATTATTTTTATTCATTTTTTCCCGTTCTCTTCTTTCCATTTCTCTTCCACCGTCTGTACCCACTTATTCCACTCGAATTCTTTTCTCTGAATTGGTATTCCTTTTTCTATTTACCATGGATTCTTCGAAATCCATCCGTTCCGCTTCGAATACTCTTATACAAATATTTCACCCGTGTCTGTATTCTCCTTCTGATTTTTCCATTTCTTCTGTCTTGCGTTCTACAAGGTGCTTCTGGTCGTCTTCCAACAATCGCGCCCACTTTTCTATATCAAAATTGGCGATATTTTGAGTTTCCGTCATGCTTAAGGACGTCCTATTTTAGAATAAGAGAAAATGACTACAGCAGGGTTAACGGTTTGATGTTACCCAGAATTTTGTGCTTAAATATGATAAAAGGGCGGTCGATGAAATACAGAAATACATAGAATGACACAAACGAAGGAGTTCGCTTCTTTATTTTATAATTACAAGGCAAACTAAAAATTTTTCTTAATATACTTTCCTAGAATAAGGATCTGTAGCATTAATTATTCTGCGCGGATGAGTCTGGATAGTTTAAACATGGAGTCACAACAATTAACGACGGGATTATGAGGGTATGTTGTATACACTTCCTTTCCTTGCTTGTGCAATTTTGAAATTTAAATAGGATAGTTACATTAATACATGAGCAAATAACGATTTCATAATATTGCATAACTTAAACGTGATGTGCAGATTTCTTTCTATAGACGACAATAGTGATAAGCTATAAATGTAGACACATTACTAAAGCTGCTGTTTCTTTTAGTGCACAAAAGAAATGTCACAATTTCGTTACCAATATAGCACATGATAATGAAAACATATCCCACGTCATATATATAGTCGGGTTATGTGAAAAAGACATATAGAAAATATTCCCAGCAAATACTCCATGCAGATAATGTTCCTACATATCCGTTAACTCCTCATACAAGACGTAATAGTCGAAGTAGTATAATTTACGCTACTTATTCCTTTAACAGTTTTCTTAGAATACTAAGGAAAAAGAAAAGAAAAAAATCATTATTAATACAACTTCAACTTAGTGTATAGCAGATTGAAACAAACAGATGAATCTTCAACTTCGTTTGTTGTAAATATGTAGTACCATAAAGGAATTTCCTTCTTACAACATATCTGTCACACATGAATTCCGCATATTAATTTAAACATCACATTCAAATGATAACACCAAACGTGCATCAAAAAACTGAGAAACATTCCGTCACACAGATTTCATTTTTGAATAGAGTGAATAGAATGAATTAAATAAATATATCATATATATAATATATGTCATACCTCTATTACGGACACACAGAAACATACTGGTCCCCTTGAATATGTACTATTCCAGTGTATGCTCATAGTACAGCATGAAATTTTGGAGATCTATAGAAGCAATATATGCTCATGGGATTTCTCTTCTTTAATGTAAGGCGTTTCCTGTATTGTACAAAACGTCTTAGGATTCTACGACACTGTTTATATTTCATCTGATAGTAGATACCCAAAGAAAAAGATAATAATAATGACACAATATATAGAGGAAAAAGTGAAGAACCATAAGTTGCAGTACCAGCCGCAATAAGACTAAATAACATAGATGGCATTAGTACGACAGGAATCGCACCAAAAATGATAAGAGGTAAAAAAATTCTGTATTTTTTTATACCGTTAAGCAATCTTCTATATCCAATTCTGCATTTAATGTTACACCTCTCATTATTATTATAACCAAAATCACTTCTCATGATGGTTAAAATTTCTGATTCAACCGTTCTATCAATTCTTTTTAAAAGTCTATATATGGCCGATTCGGTAACTTCCTTGATTCTATGCTCTCGTATTAACTTATGGAATTGTGCTTGTTCACTGACATTATCCGTTTCAGTAAAGTCTTTTTCATTTTTCAGTATATCAAATTTGCTTCTACAAAGACTGTCGTTCGATATATCGTCGCTACTTTAATCAGAATCATACACTTCTAAATCACCAAATATGCTGTCTTGGGCGACATTTTGGTCTAATTCATTTAATGGTCTTTTAAATTATGTTTCTGAACTTGAGACGCTAGATATACTTTCAGAACTATCATCGCACATTGATGCATTAAGGGTCCGCTGTCCATTGCCCTGATGTGTGAAAAGATTTAATTCCTCCCGAATTTCTTCATCCTGTGGTGAAGCATTTAAGTGTATTGGAAATTCATTATCATCTTCCTCTAACATGTTAATATTTGTTCCTCCTAAACAATTATCTTTTGTTTCTTTTAGTAGGTTAGCTTTTCCATGGAGCAGTCTACTTGTTCTAATAGCTAACAATGTTCCGTTTTTCCTGTCTCTTCCATTATGTTGTTGTAATAAGCTCCATGCTTAAAAAGAGAGATACATGATTTGGAGAATTGTGAAAAACGCCAATTCATGGGAGCGAACTAAAATTTTCCTTTATAAAACGCGCATTTCCATAAATATATAAATTAACATGCATATATGCATATTATAGTGAGGGGAATGCATGAATTCAGCTCCGTTGGTACCTCATGGGAACAATTTTGTATACTTAGTACAAGGGCAAGCGCAGCAATTTTCGTGAAGAAAGAATTAATTACCTTTACGTTCATATGGGATAAATTTAAAGATACAAACAGAGCAGATTAGTAATTCTATGTTGATCTATTTCAGAACTGTTGCACAATGCTGTATAATTCATCGGATATATTATTATTCTGCGTCATAGTTCTCTATTTATTCATAGTATAATATATTTCAGCTCTAGTTAAACTTATGCAGAACTCAGATTATTAAATTACAATAAATGAAAGATAAAATGGTAAAGAGAAATATTTTACAAAGTATATTCTATGCAACATTATCGCTAATTAATATACGGGTGAATTACGTCAAAATAGTACGATCCAAAAAGTGAGCATACTTTATCTAAAAAGTCGTATATGAATTCGTTATATTTCTTTTACACCATTGCTAGCAAATAAAATCCAGAAAAAAAAAGAATCTATATCTAATGACATATATGTTGCCTACTATGTTTCCACGATCCCCCTCAGTCGTATGGAATATGGTAAAAAAATATAGTTCATCATTTGATATCTACATTAACGTTAAAGTAGAAATAAATACTATTCCTCTCCATGGATACAAAAGAACAGTGAGAAATTCCCAAAGTAGTTCCAAATTTTTTCTAATCTAGAATTCTATATAATTTAACTTTGACCATTTCATTATATAAAGCCTTTTTAAAAAATACATTTACAAGAATAGAGCGAGAAATATCTCTGTACCATGCTAAGGATTTAAATTTATTTCAATATTGAACGCTGCATTTATTACTCGCATTTACTTTTTTAAAACAAAAGAATTAGTAAACAATAAAGTAACAGCCATAAATAATTTCATGAATCTGAAGTTTCACTCTTGAATTATACTTTTCTCAGATAGATCATTTTCCGGAAAGTTCCATATTTTTAATGATTGTAATGGACAATCTGTTATTTTATCGTATTTCTGAACGGCGAATATTTTGGGAAAATGAAAAATTACAAACTAAACATTCCAAGAAAGAGGAAAGCTCTGTGTTCCGCAGGCTGGAAGGTTCATCCTTAACATCTACATTAATATACGATTAATGAAACAGAACAGGAAACAGTAAAGATATGAACACTTTGTACATATATATATGCATGTGTATGGAATTGTAAGGAAAAAGTGCTTTCAAATACTTAATTCATACTTTTACGCGATTTGAAATTGCTGAATTATCTTATATTGCATTATTCCCCAAAACAGATAAATATAAATAACAGAGAAATTTGATCATTTATCTGACCACAGGGAGCTAAAGTGATTGTATTGCATGTGCTCACTGTAAATATAATGTAAAACGTATTTTTTCATATATAAAAATGGGTCATTAATTTGGGTTCTACTTCATACAGTCTATTGTAATGTTCGGAAACCGATAAATTATTTATATTCTTCGCTCAAAGAAATCACTAGTCTGTTGTATTTATCGAAATAATTACAATGTAAACTTTCAATTCTTATGAATTCTCTTCTTTATACCTAATCAAGAAATATCCTATGGAAAATTTGTTCCCAAATATATCTTATGATTACTAATTTTAAAAGACAATTTACCCTGATGCATATATCATATTATTTCTGTTCCAATATTGCTCTCTTATATACTTATCGCATCTTCTGCGCAAATTTGAATTATACCATCTTTCTTGTAAATTTCTGAAGTGATTAATCATTTTACACATGTTCTAAAATAAAGTTTCTTTAGAATAATTTCAAATAACTATGAATCAACAAGTTTTCTCTCACAACAGCTAAGAGTGTATTCTCCAAAAATCTACATATTATAGGTTTGGAGCAATTCCTAAAGGAGCCGAAAGTATAAGACGGAACCTGTCTGTTTCTATTGGTGTGTATGGGGCAACTGTTGAGCGCTTGTTCTACTGTAGCAATTAAAAGGATTAAAGCAAATCTGTAATAGAAATATTAGAGCTTACACACTTCAAAATAAGAATATAATCTCTGTTGATGATGTGTACATACTAATATCACTGTCAAATCCGACATCAGATAGAGCACATAATTTCAAACACTATGGCACAATGAGAAAATTAAATACTCAAAAAATTTATATTTCTGATAGCCCAAATGAATAGTTTCATACACATCATTGTTGTGGCGACCATAAAGCAAAAAACGCATGAAAGAAGAGAACGAATAATGGGAAAATTATTCTTCATCTGATCATTATTTCTTCAAAACAGAGGCGCATTTTTCCCGCGGCATTAATATTAGTGGATTGCTCCTTTCAGTTGTGTATAATTTTTATAAAACCAGGTCTGAACAATTCTTACGTTTAAGTAAAGTATGAAAAGTAATATGTCCACCGGTAATTCCAAGAGGCATTATATTTGATAAAAAAAAGAAAGATAAGACTATTCATTATTTTTCCTTTTCTATTTTATAATATAAGTTATATACAAGTACAATAACGTGATGTCAGATGTACATATACAGCAGCAGAACATATAGAAAAAGAATATTGGGGAATATACACATTTGGATATGTCTTAGGTACTTTTTTTACAATTTGGCCTTCACCCTTCGGAAATTCGCAAAGTACTGAGATATCAATGATAAAAAAATGAAACAGAATGTTCATCAATAACACATCAAGAAGAAGCCAGCAAATACTCCCACATGGGCCAATGCAAATGCCCAAGACAGGGGATTCAATATTTGCCCATGGCTATGCATCGCAACTGCGACAATTTCGTAACATACAATAAAATGTTACTTACATCTTGCACACAAACCAGTAAGAGAATCATCTTTTTCGTGTACAGATCTATGTTAAACCTAAGAAATTAAAAAAGATTTGTATACACATAAATACATATCCATGTTGTGTAAAAATATGAACAATATTTTCTCTATCACCAAATTTCAAATTTGCTCGGTATGACTAATTCATTAGAACATAGAATTTAGAGCAATACACGTAAAATGCATATATCACATTATATAACTAGGATAAATATCTAGTGTACCAAATGATACTCCTAAAGAAGTAGCAGCGCATTTCTCCTTTTTTCATATTATAAAAAATAAGGAATGCACACATAATTTATTATGTGCCTATAACGTTCGAGACAATGCAAAAAATTAAATCATTAACCATTAGTTGAGAATATGTATATATTACACAGAAAGGAACATATTGAATTTTTCTATGTATTTCTAGTACTATAACATGTTCCCAATAGTAACCCCTAGAAAAAGATGTTAAATAATTTTTTTTGTATGATTAAAATATACTGTGGAATTTAGTACATTTATTTCCATATTTAAATTGCTCTTAAAAATCAAAGTTCAAATAAATGTTTAATTCTTAAAAGCCACGAAGTTTTCATAATTTCAATGGGTATAATTCATAGTAAAATGGTATTAGCACATGAGTTTAACCCATTGAATAATTCAGTTAAGTAAAGCTAAATATGTTTAAAGTTAATGATGCACATTTATTTTAGTACAATACTCTATAAATATACAACAAATTGGATAAAAAATGATATTAATATATGTTCCCTTATAGTACGATCACATATCTATTGAATAAAAAATATTTACATTATATAGCAACGTTCTATTAACTCCAATATTTTAAATGTAGGGACATCACATTTGCTGTAAGCACATTTGTTGTTCAACTAAAGTTCACTGCTTCATGGCATTATATTCTTTACGTTATAATGAATGTCACGATATTTTCTAAGTTCATAAATTGTTCCTGTTTTTCCTGTTAATCGGGACAGAATATTAATTGTTGTTATATATGAGTACTACGATGGTTATTTTCATAATATTCGATGACGTTTAATATATATTCGTACAACAATTCATTGGAATAAGATGTATTAAAAACTATAAATATGTACACAGTGAACTATCAACGCATATCTATCTACTTGTGAAGAGAAATATTCATTGCACTATTAATAATGTAAGAAAGAACTCCTTACTAAATTAATCGTGCACAACATTTTTTCATAGCGCGAATTTCATTAATGTTTCCAAACATGTGCGTGAAAAAATGTGAACATCATTACAATATAGAAAAGCATAAGAATTGAGAATACTACTGTTTAAAAAAATACATATGTTTCAAGAAAAGAAAAGAACACAAGTATATGCTCGTAAAAAAAAACTAACTCGCATAGAACAATATGGAAAGTATTAATACCAAAAATACGCATTTGCGTACATATACTTCTTTATTTCATGAGCAAAATAAATTCTATTTATTGAAAGAGAAAAAAGTAAGAATAGAATTAGAAGTACCATACTACGTTCTTGGAATTATTATGAAAAAGGGGAAGTACTTAAAAATAGAAACAGTAAAAAATTACACACAAATAACGCTATCAATTTTGAAAGAACTATTATCTTTAAAAAAAAGAGTTTAATTATCTAATTTGTAAAACTGTAGATAAATTTTTTCTTAGCCTTTTTATTATGCTTTTTATTCGTTGTGCCCCCCATATATGATACTTTTGCTTGATCGACCCCATGAAACGTGATAAGCAGAACGATATGGCCTGTTTCTTGGACCTGTATGAGCATTTCTGGAGTGTTCCTTCGGAATATGCTTCGCGCGGCTGTGTGTATATTCCTGAACTATTTTTCTTCCTAGTTTTTTCCTATGTATAAATGGTCCAAATGGATTATACTAACACCAAAATGAGAAATTCATAAAATTGATCATACAATTCTCTTGAGTTATAAAACTTATGATCGAAATAAATTAGAAATAGAAATATTAATTATTGGCAAATCCAAAACTTAATGTCCACTTACCTCATAATAAACAGAAAAAAGAAAAATTAATCCTAGGGTTACAGCTGCAACTGAACCGATACGGAAAAAAGTATTGTAAAATATGTCATTTCCGTTTACTGGCACATATGTATAGTATTCATCGATATCGGTAAATTTGATAATTTCTGAATCTCTGCTCTCACAAGGATTATTGCTAATAATGCTTCCATCACCTTTTACATCTGGTATAGTTTTAGGAAGCTTAGACATAATGTCACTTAATTTAGAGCATCTCTTATATCGTTCCTTTAATTCTCTTTTATTTCCCCTTAGATTCTTTACTCATTTGCGAAGTTTGTACTTATCTTTACTTTGGATCATCATCCATACTATTGAAATCTCCTTTACGTGGCACCCATTTTATTGAAGGTTACGTATTCTCCTGTCAGACGGCTACATCTGTTTGTTCTGCAGGACCATCAAACGTAGATACATACCTCTATTTATTATTCTTAGTTGCAACTATCGGGGTCCCATTAGATTATGAAATGGTAGAATTCTCCTATGAAAACTTATCTATCAGCTTCCCTTTACTGGTAGTTACAGGGTCTAGAATTTCCGGAAACCTCATAAAGTAGTGGATGTATATCTGCAATATACTTCCTCGGGCTGTCTTTCCATTTAGCAATACGGAAAGCTTTATAAATATTCTTTGGACATTTATAATTTATTGTAAGCATTTTACATGTCCACGTATCCTCAGTTATATTTGTACACACAACACAACGAAATGTATCTATAATATCTTCTTCGGGAATTTGCGAATTTTTGTGTTCACCGTGGTTCAATGATTTATGAGCTCTTTTATTTAATCACATTTTGTAGCCCCGCGCGAGGTTAGGGAATGTAATAATTTTCTGGGGGGTTATAATCATCATGATAATAAAAATATTGTATGCAATTACTGCATCATGAATTCTGACAGGAATATTTTTCATACAGTGCATGAATATGACGAAGTTAACTTTTATATTTTTCTGCTTTATCGCTATTACAGGTGGCTTCAATTTTCATAGAAGAATAATTTTCAAAATAATCATACAAACGTTTCTATTTTTGTTTATGTCTTAATTCTTCTAAATGTGTGAAATGAAAATTAAAGTGACAGGCATATTCTGCATATGATGAAATACTATATTATTGTGCCTGCATAAATTTATTAATAGTTTTATTTCTATGAGAACTCTCTTTTTCATCTTTTAAGACATTGTGTAATTCATCATAAATCCAATGTTTGTAATGAGTACAACGATATCTACATATGTCTGTGTTATCCATTTTAGACAAATACTCTACATTTCTTGCAATTTTATTACGAAGTTCAAATGTTTCATTTGATTCATTTCTATCTCTTCTCAGCTCTTTACAAAACCTATTATAATCTGTTTTATTTGCATCCTGATTTACTTCAGCGTAAATCTCTTTTGAGGATATTTCCACATAAAATATCTTCCTAATAAGGAAGAAGAAAGGAATGCCTTATGTTAGTGACGAGGTCTCTATTATGAGGATGTAATTTTTTTTACATTGCAATAGAAAAATCTTCCTACATTGCGTTCTTAACGATTTTCTTGTTACACATTAATACAGACGCACACATCACTGCTATGTGTTGTCATTTTATTCAATATTAGGTTGAATAAATAAAAATATGGTCTATATAATACTATATATTTTTCTATATGAATTTTTCGAATTACACAGATATGGAATAGTATCATCTATTCTTGAATTAGGAATTGATATTTAAATTTTTGCAGGCATAATGATATACAACAAGAGAACATTTTTTGATACTCATAACCAAAATGTAATAAATATATTACAGTCGCTTAAAATGTAATTTCAATTTATAAAATGCTATTGTATGAAGTCTTTCCTTTTAAACATACTACGTAGTTGTATTAATTATACTTAAGGAAGGAAAGTGTTCCCTTTGCAAAAACTAACTTAATAAAAAAAACGTTAAAGCAAAATTGGTCCCCTTTTCCAATGAAATAATTTAATTTCTTTCGCATCGCGTTAGTTACGAAAAAATTGTTCTTCAAAATGGGGCATATATGGATACCCCTTGTTTTTGTTACCTTTTCTGCTTTTTCATTTTTGTTTTAACCATTCATTATGCGACTCATTATGGGAAAAAAATTATGATTTGCTAATTTTTATCGACCCCATTTTTACATTTCAAAAAGGTGACGTGAAGAATGTAACATTGAATACGCTAGGAAAGACAACTCCGCAGCAGTACACTTATTTTGAGGTAATCTTTTCGACATGACGTTCGCTTCTGCACCTATTTATTATATTCTCTGAACACTTCCATTAAATACTGCACAGATGTTATGGCGGGACAATGTAAAACTAAACATTCTGGATTCCATAAGAAATGAAAAGTTAATTTTTTCTTTGATCTTTCAAATTGGTTTCATTATTATGCCGTTCTTCTTGTACTACTTAAACACGTACGTATAAACCTCGATCGCGGTCCCTGAACTGACTCATGGTGTTTTAACCTATTCATAAATTTTTCTTATGATTCTTCCTATTCGAATAGCTTACTATGCAACTTGTTCGTACATAGGGTTTAAAGGTTTAACTCTCCGGGTAATGAGAAATATACATGAAAAAATATCGAAAAATCCTATCCACTATAAAAGCATTAGCGTTATATTATGCACATTTTTTCGCACTTATATAGGTTTCTTTACGCGCTAATTAGGAATATAGAAAAAGAAAAAATGAAAGAACAAATGCTCCATGCAAATGACTAAAAATGAGAAACTCAGTTTTCTGACTTCGAATTATATTTGCCCTTTCTCATTCGCACAACTTTTGCTACATAAGAAAGGCAAAATAGAACCGTGATTAGTAACAAAATTACTAAGTATTAGGCGGCTAAATTTCCTATTCCTAATGATTCTCTCAGTGCACGTATTATTTAATTGAGACTTGATAACGGATCCACCTTCTTTTAACAAGAAATCTCCTGAAATCGTTAATTACACCCTTCATGTAACATGACTAATTAAGGTTTTCCACTTATAGAATACACATTTTCTTACAGCAGAAGGGCACATGCACCTTTTTTAGCGCATAATCATACGTGTGTATGTTCGCCGTGAATAATTTACGCAAAATTATCAATATCAATAAAGGTACTTCTTCTGCGCACATTTCTTAGACGTGGTATACATTCCCATACTGCATATTCCCCCCAAAAGAAAAAAAATTGAATAACATTTTTACCCTCTTACATGAATGTCTTATCTGGTTCCTGCTGTTCCCAAAATGTAAATCAAATTAAGGCACATGCTCACAAATGCGCAACGAATGAAACAGGCAACTGACTAATTCTAATTCAAGAAATATATCAAGTGCAAGGTCTAACATCTTGATCCGTAACAGCACATGCAATTTTAACACTAACCTGAAATAATGATGCTTCTTGTCTTTACACATAAAATGATACCCAGAGAAGTGTAAAGTTTCAAAAAAATATGCAAAACACAAAAGTGCATTAAACAGAAACGCTAGAATATACGAAATCCTAATTCACAGATTATCATGGTACACGATCATTAAATTTTACAGGAACTCATTCAACAAATAAAAAGCAAGTGTTATAAAACGAATTTGCACAGGGAATAAAATGTATAAAGGAAAAATAATCTTACGAGAAAAAGAACAAGTTTAAAATCCGTGACTATCATTAAGTTTGGTGGTGTTCAAGAGGAGAAACGTAAAAAAGAAGCATGTCGAAAAAAAATGAAGAGATGTTTGCATCAAACTTTTTTTTCTTGTCTAAAAAAAGCAACATTCTAGGTTCATGAATGAGGGAAAACATGTAAAGGACCTTCTCATCCCGCAAATAAATATTTCTGAAAAATATATCAGTATTGTCCTTTTGGAGGAAGTACTAATGAATTATATTAAGGTCCACTTATTAACTCCCTTTGTAATCTCGAGGTCATTGAAACTCTTTAGATATGTCCAACACTCTATCCCCACTCACAAATTAGTCCATACGGTTATTTCACCTCATGCAAAGGAACTAAAACATATAATACATCAGAATTAATTTTAAAAAGTGGAATTTTCTAATTCTTTAGAACTTCTCATAGATTTTCATGCACAATTCAATTTAACGATCAATATGCTGAAGGTGAAATGTTCATCGATATTTCGGTGGGTTCCTTTAGATGGGAGACGGTACAGTGCAAACATACGCATAAGAATGAAAAATTTGAATGATAGGCGCAAGAATGCCTATACGTAGAATTTTACACATAAACGTAATAACGGGGTATACCTTTATTTTTATATCACATTTATCTCTCATTAAGTGCTCCTAAAATAGAATTAAGGCAGATACTATTTGAACCATATTATACTTTAAAACGCACAGAAAGTAACGTAACGTGGACGTCTAAAAGTATTAAGAAGTAGCGGCACACATTTAGGCAAGAACACCGCGGAAATTATCCGCATTTCTTTATCAGCCCACTAATGCAGTAACTACAACCCTATGCACCAGTTTCACTTTTTAATTCCAAAGAAATACCCCAAGAAATGATTTTTCATGATGTGTTAAAGCATTAACTGATATGCCTGCGAATTTGGCAGAATAAATATAATTAAAAGGGATCCACGCGCATTTTATGTGCTCTAAAAATTATACGTACAATTCATGCAGTTGTGCTAACTGATTGGCAAAATGGGAAAATCCCCTTTGCGTATAAATGAAACAAATACATTCCTTCAAACTTTAGATTAAATCTACAGAGAGCGTCGATAAATATAGCACCGCGTTTCACATAGCCGTCTGGTTCGCTCAGTGAATGCTTTGTTCTATAAATTCTTAATCTATTTGTCCCTACTTTACGCTTCAATTGTGATGAAATGAAATATTTCCGCACAAATATTTTTATAGTTAATTTATATAGCGTAATCGCAGATACGAACTCCTCAAAATTCGAAAACGTGTATTTTTTCTAAAGCTACGAATAAAATACATGATCTTTCCACGAAATTCATACATATAGCGCCCTTGGTTTTTTAACTGTATGAACCCCCTACAATATATGGAATTGACACACTGGCGTTCGATGTGTTTAAAGGTGCGCACGTTTTGTCATTCAAATAAAAGGACGAGTTCTGCAAACCATTCACGTTTATATATAAAAATGAGAGTCAGCAAAATGGGCAAATGAACATAACAATGCATATGTACAAAATATTGCAGATTCATCATTATAATATCAGAACACTTAGCATCCTTCGACGCCGTAAGGAATTTTGTTTTGCACGTACGTCTACGTTTCTGTATCAAGAAGATGTATAAGGTATAATGTTTCCCTTGCACCAGAAATGGGTTAAATATATATGTGATATAAATATAACAGCGAATGTTTCGATCTTACTGGAGTTTTAAAGGCCCCTTGTTGTAAATCAAATAACGCCTTATCTGTTCGTCAATCGCCTGTTTTTTCCATAAGGGTTAAGAAATAAAATTTGACGTTGCGTGCCTGGATCATTCAATCACGTCGAAATAACGATCCACTCCTTCAATCTGATATATATATACATGTATATATTTGTATGCTTATGTAATTACATTGGGGCAAATTCCAATTCGACCGGTTTTCATTATATGAAAAAACATTCTGTTCTGAACAATTCTTCCAAATATGAAATGAACACAAAAAAAAATACGCATATGCGTAATTTTCTTCTTCGCATATATAGAACTCCTGTAATCTTTCCCCCTTTCATATATATTTTTTTTTCCACCTTCTGGAGCACTTTTTTGCCACTTCCTTTTGTTCTTTTTCGAGCATATTGCAGCCCCTTTTTTTTGTGGCCCACCCTTTCACGGCATGCTGGCACAGATAATTCTTCCCATTCCTTCGCCTTCTTTTGTTTGTGTTAAAATTGAGAAAACTGATGGATATCCTCTCTTGTTGAAGCGCAAATTTACGCTACGGTGTAGGTCGAAACTTATGTGGACTGGTTGTTTGACCCACTAAGGTGCCAAATTTTGATCGTAAGAAGGATTTTTGTAACCTGCATGAATTGATACCACTGAATGCATGCACATGTTAAAATAATTATAAAGGAAAAAACCTCAAAAAAAAAATTGTCAACGCCTTTTCAGAATAATGATTGCAACTTTCGATTAATCGTACATATTTAATTATACATATTTAATTTCTACAATGAAGTGCCAAAAACACATTTAATCGATAAGCGATCAGAACAGAAAGTAATTCATCAAACGATAGTTTTACAACCCAGTGACCCTTTAAGTAAATAAACGTGTGATTATCTGGACTTAACCAAAATGAGGACTTCAAACCATTTAAGCGTTTTTGTTCTATTTTTATTTTTAATTGCAATAATTCCGTGTTTGGCTGTTTATTCGGAGATACCCCTTGAGAAATTAGATTACGAAACAATTAAGGCCAATGAAAAAATACGATCCAAATCAAGAAAAGATGGACTGATAATGTTGTCACTTGTATGTGGAAGTATTGTCCTAGCCTTTGCAACCCTGTGGGGGATAAAAATTCATCATATAATCAAATATGACCGAAGAGGAAAAATGACAGATCCAGAAACAGCGACTGGGGGAATGGAACCCAAAGTTTCTCCTGAAGATGACGTTCTGCACCCAGAAAAATGAGATACCTGAATTATTATGGTACTCCCGGGCCGTACATTTGGGTGAATTTTTTTTTTCTTAACCATCCAATTCGCCGTTATAAGAGAGTTACAATTTTCAGCTGTTTCGTATTTTGCTGCTATGTGTAAATAATTACATGCATCTGTGTCCTATGACTCTGCAATATATATATATATTTTTCCTTGTACCACATAGGGCGTAATTGTAGAGCATTTCGAATTGTGTGCGTCATTTCTTCTCTTTTTTGAACACATTTCTTCTTCACGTACGACAATGTATATAGAATTTTTTCATTTTCTTGTGCGTGTCCATATTTTATTTTCCCCTAAGTACTATGCTGCGCGTCTTTTTTAGCTCATATTTTTTATATTCCAGCGAATGAATTCATTATTAGACCACTTTGCAGATTCATTTGTAGCATAAAATGACAAGTTGCATTATGCCGCTCCGTGCGTGCATGTGCCCATCATTCCTCACACATGTTCGTTGCGTATTTGGCCTACAAGCCCAGTAACCTTGTTCGTAAGTAACATTATAATATATAAATTAAAAAGAACCATAAAATTGAACGATTCAGTACGAAAATAATTTTAACCTTAAATCATTTTAAACAATGTTGAAGCGCTAAATAGTATTAAGACAAGAAATAGGGCGGGGAGACGTGGATTCTTATCCATTACGCCATTGCCGTATGGGCGAGGAAATGGATACCCACATTGAGAATTCAAAATGGAAGATGCCTTCCAGAGCAATATTTTCTTTCCCATCATTTCTTTCTCTATCAACAATCTAACAGTTCACTTCACACTTTGGAAGCATAACTAAAGGTAGCATAACATGTTGTTGATGCAGGAAGACAAAGTTACTGCTATACCTTACGCCCTTCCTTCAATATCTATCATTTCACTTTTGTGAATATTGCACAATTCTGGCATTTCATAATATATTCATTTTTCAGTAAATTTCTCACTTATTTTATTCTTCGAATAAATTGTAAACAAACATAAATACGTAGAACTATAACATATTAAAATGACGGTCGAAGGGAAAAAAGACATTTAATGAGAAAGACACATTTTTATCAGTGTACCAACAACACAACAATGATTACATGTTTCATAAATGAACTCACAAAAGGAGCATTACATGGTAAAAATTAAGCAGATTTCTTATTTACACAATAAATTTATAATTGTCCGTTTTAATTTACAAAAAACGCACAAAGTTCTACATAAATGTGAGGTGAACTATTCTGCAAAATTATGATCAATACTATTCTTCGTGTACTTCCCCTGTACACTTTTCCATTCGCTTCTCCGCACAATTGTCGCAAATGCATACATTGGCTAATACAACAAGGAAGCCACACTTGCCTCGAATTGCTTCAAATAGCTGTATAATTAATTCTGGAAACACATCCTAACTATGAAAATAAAGAAAATTCCGAAAAATACTCACGTTTTCAAAAATAAGTTCTCTGTATTGCGTCAAAATTCCACATATATATGCACTGTTAAATGATGCTCATGTGTCTATTTACACAGACAATACTTATTTTGTCGTAATGTGTAACTTTTTTCAATAATTATTACAATAATAGAAGATGTCTTCCCATTTTTATAATAATTTTTAGGCTACATGATTTTCCTCCTCTTCATAACATACTTTTGTGAAGTTCCTTTGACAAATTACACTTAGGAATTGTTATACAAGGCCACTCTCTTCCCATATCCTAAGAATTTTCTCTGCAAATATATAAGAAGAAATTATTTAAAAGATACATTCTTTCTTTTCCTGATACGATGTTGATTAATTTACTTTCTATCTTTTTCCGTAAAACCAAGACGCCCCTCTTAACTCTGATCCACTCTTTCTTTTTTCGTTATTATTTTGTTTTTGGAATAAAAAAAGATAGGGATCACTGTGTTTCTTCACCTTTTTAATCTAAACTTTCCTCAATTGCCAAACTAATATGTTCCTCTGAGTACACTTATCTTAATCCCATTGTAAATTTTGTAATTCCTCTTCCGATGTTCCCGAAGATTTTTCTCCGTCTGAATCTGATTCTGTGTTTTCTTCATTTTCAGTGTTTCTCCATTTTTCATAAGAGGACTGTGATGAATTCTTTAAGCTACCTGAATCTTCCTTATGTGTATCCTTTTGAGAATCCTTATTCTCTATATTTCCTTCAGATCCTACGTCACGAAAATTACTAAGATACCACAAGTTAAGTCTGTTTTGTTTAAATTGAATATTAGGCACTAGTGATGTTTTCTTTTCATCCAATTCTTCTTGTTCCAATGCTTCGGAAGATGTTTCTGTGTCTGAATCTGTCTTCTCTTCATTTTCAGTTTCCTTCCATTCTTCATGAGAGGACTCCGATGAAATATCTGAGCCACCTGAATCTTTCTTATCTGAATTTTCTTGAGATTCCTCCTTATCGTTGTCTCCTTGAGAATCCTTATTTTCTATATTTCTTTCAGATCCTACCTCACTTAAAATAATACCATACTGCAAGTTATGTTTGTTTTCTTCAATTTGAAAATTAGGCTCCTCTGATGTTTTCTTTTCATCCAATTCTTTATCATCTGAATCTGTGTCACTAATCCCGGGAGCTTGAAGTTTATTAATTTCTGAATTATTGGAAGTTCTGACTTTATATGAATGTATTTCCAAAAGTTTCATATTTTTCTCCTTTACCATTTCGTTCGTAGGTTCAGTTAAAAAAATATTTTCGTATTTACGAGTCGGTACTTTTGGAACAAGAACTGGTTCTTCTGTGTTCGCTGTATTTTCTTCTGACTCACTTGAGCTTTTCCCTCGATACTTACGACGCAGCCTTTTACTGAATCTGGTTGGTTCTCCAACTGGGGTTGTCCTTTTTCTTGTCTTTATGGGTTTTTCTTCTACTTTTTCATTACCTTCTTCTGCAGTAGTAGCTTGTGCGTTTTCTTTTGTTAACACATTTTTGCCCTTCTTATTGTGTTTCTTGCATGGATGACCTAAAACTTTGCAACATGCTCTATACCTCCTGGTTCTTTTTTTTTTCTTCTTCTCTTCTTCTGTGTCTTCTTTTATAGGTTTTGATTCAGTTATTTCCGTTCCATTCACATCTATATCCTCGAGCATTGTGGTATTGATTAATGAAACAAAAGTGTCCGAATAATTCACATTGTTATCTCTTATAAAATTCTCTATAGAATCATCCATATTCTTCTCTGCAAAGTGTGAAAAACAAATAAAATGACCAACATTAAAACATTTACATCGTCAAAAATGTGCAATTATTTATGCGTCTCCCAGTTCTTTCACATCATAAACACCTATATACAGATACATTTTTGACAGTTTTGCATTATCCCCTTACCTTCTTCTTCGGTAAGGATTCTTCCTTTATATTCATCTCCAGTAGTTTCAAAAAATTTCCATAATATGGAAGACGAAAATTTCTTCCTTTCCTTTCTGGGTGCAAATTTGACCAAAGCAATATGCACCACTTTGCTAAGTAAAATTGTGAATATAGCTATATTCCACAACGTACTGATTTTCATTTTTTCTTGATGGTTAAATTATATAAAAAGTGACAAAAATTGTTACTGAATGTATTTATATGGTTGTTTATTGCCATACCTATGGTTATGCATTCTGTTCTTTTTTTTTTTTCACCACAGAGTTGTATCTCTTATATAATTCTTAACACGCGTTCCCAATTTTTAATTCCCTCGTAATATTCTTCTTTTAAGCATTTAATTTTTTTGTCCACTAAAACATAAAACTGAATGTTCATTTTTTATGTGGAAAAAACATAAAACTCTAAATGCATGCACAAACATAATTTACGATTTAACGACGGTTAATGAGAGGCAACTTTATTTGTTCTATTTATTCATATAGACGTTAAACCTTTAGTGTACTGAACCAGATCGCAGACTATGAAACAAGAAGAACTATACAAAATACAATGCAACCATTTTTGCATGCGTGCTCAAGGAAATTCTCAAATAATATACCAAACATTTTTTTGAAATATTCATGCTTAAAAGAAATTGTGCATATATTTCTTTTCGCTCATCATAAAATTTGTTATGGGGATTTTCCCCCCTATTTTCATATAACTAATTCATTGTTACATGTGCAGGATATTCGAACGGATTATCTACACTTTAAAATAATAAACTTTTACGTCCAAAAAAAGAAAAAAAAAGGGAAAATTCTAAACGTTAAGACGTATGGCTGACATTTATGTAACGATCCCGGTATAAGGCATAAAAGCCGTAAGAACCGTCCTGACACACCATGCTGAACGTACAATTGTATAAGAACATTTACATTACCTTGCGAATCGCCCAATTCTGCTAACAAGAAGGAAATAAATACTTTCCTGAAAGAAGGCCGTATTCAAATATTCACGCCCAATGAAAACAGCTGGATTTAAAGCGCAAAAAGAAATCTCTTAAATAAACAGAACTGAAAAGATAAATCCGCTTTGTTTATTATTTCGTCAGGAATGCTTTCATACATTCATATGTGTATGGATACATATACACAAGCCAACCTTTGAAGGTCGATTGTAAAATCGTTCATCATTTGAAAAAGGCATTTCGTAATATATGCAAACTTGTAGAATGCCAAAATGGGACTTTCCACGGGAGTAGAACAATTTAGTCTTTCATACGTCTCCGCCTCTTCACTTCACCATACCGGCTGTACATATCAGCTTATTTTAAGTAAAATAATGAGCCCTTTCCAGGTTAATTCATTTATTTCATTTTTCTCCATATGCCACATAGACTATTCGCAGCTTATATAAACTGTCAAATTTATAAAAACGCTGTAATGTTACTTTTTTTTAAGAGACCACTAATGAAGCAATGTTTCAGACAAAAGATGTATTAGTTTCCCCCTCAAAAATAAAAAGGATCAACGAGTTCTCCATTTTTTCATGCATATAATTCGTAGCCAAGGAATGTGTAAACTATGTACTTCCAACACGCACATCTGAGCCTTCCTCTTTTCTTAAGCAGGCTAAAAAAGGAATGCTGTAAAATATGTTCCAACATTTGGCATTTCTTTGTATAATTCGTATATAAATTCTCCTTAGCGCAAAATGCATTTTTATCTGTGCTAAAAGAGATCCTCACGCAATTAAAAATACAATAACGATATTTTCTTCTGCTTTTCTCTATTCTGCTTTGCTTTATTTTTCTTTGGTTTAATTTTTTTCCCTCGCTAAATATCACAAAATGCCAGCTTCTTTAATTTCCTACGGTGATTTTTTCTTCCTCAAAGAAACAACGCGAAAAAAAAAATATTGCGCCGTTTTAATGTGAAAAATCAAATACCCAGTCAAATTCATGAAATGTTAAACAGAATTAATCCACAGAAAAATAACAAATTTTTTAATTACCTATTTTCGTCTTAAAAGTAATAAGCACGTTTTTAATAAGGCAAAGGAGCACAACATAAATGTACTCACTTCCATCGTAACATTCTTCGTGCTTAAAAAATGCATACGACTAGGCATCATACGCTGGTACAACACAACAACACTTAAAAGCGTGAGCATTTAGCAATATGCATATTTGACCAATTCGCTTAACGGAAAACAACCGAATGTTTTTAACTTTCCTGTAACCTTCAAAATTGTATGCCAAATTTAAACACGTTATAGTCGAAAAGCGCGTGCTGCGAAAAAATGGAAGAAAAAAGCGAAGCAAGAAATGAGGAAAAAGGCGAAATAGAGAATAGGGAAAAAAATCTGTTTAAAATTGAGAATTACAAAATAAACAACGGAAGGTATGAAGATATGTTAAAAGATAAACAAAGTGAAAATGAAGCAAGTGATAACATTTTAATAAAAGAAAATTATAAGCGCGTCGAAACGGAAAATCAGAAAAATGACAATCGTGAAATCAAATTTGGCAAAAGGGAGTGTATAAATGTTGACTTCACCAACCAAATTACCGAACAGGATGTAACGCAAAGTGTAAGCAAAGGAGAAAAAAAAAGGGACAGTTTGCCGCAGAACGAAAAAAAATCCGAACTTTCGGCGGAAAAGGAAAGCCAAATGAGTCAACCGGAAGCTGATGAGACGAATCTGAAAAGGGAAAACTTCCCAATGAGTGAACCCAATCGGGAGGGGACAAGCGTGAAAAAGAAAAATGAATGCGAAACCCGTCACACCGACAAAGAGACCAATCTGAAAGATTACTACAAAGACTTGCCAACCGTTATAATCGTAATCGGCATGGCTGGAAGTGGAAAGACGACCTACGTCGGGTCATTATATAACTATCTAAAAGTAGAAAAAAAAAAAAAAGTATACACAATGAACTTGGACCCAGCCGTTAAGTACGTGCAATATCCAGTAAACATAGATATACGAGATAGCATTAAATATCACGAAATAATGAAAGAGTATAAACTAGGACCAAATGGCGCAATCATGACTTGTTTAAATTTATTTGCCACACGATTTGACAAAGTTATTGAAATTTTGGAAAAGAGGAAAAATAAATTACACTACATAATTGTGGACACACCGGGGCAAATTGAAGTATTTAACTGGTCCGCAAGTGGCAATATTATTTTAGAAACTCTATCAGTTAGCTTTCCCGTGGTTATTAATTACATTATTGACACTGTTAGATGTGAAAGGCCCATCACTTTTATGTCCAATATGCTTTATGCGTGCAGTGTTCTATACAAAGCCAGACTGCCTTTTCTGGCTTGCTTCAACAAAGTTGATATTATCAAACACGACAAGTGCATCCAGTGGATGAAAGATTATGACAGTTTCAATGAGGATGTTATACATGATGAGAGCTACATGGCTAGTTTCAGTAGGTCGTGTGCACTCATGATTAATGAATTTTACGAGGGCATAAAAACTGTAGGCATTTCTTCCAAAACGAATGAAGGGTTTAATAGTGTCCTAAAGAATTTAGAACTCTTGAAGGAAGAATATATCAGCGAATATGTAGCTTCCATTGAAAAACAAATGAAAAGAATTAAAAGAAAAAAGGAAAAAGATATCAAATTGAAAATGGAAAATTTGTTAATCGAGAAGCAAAAGGATCTCCCCAGTTCCAAAAATAAAAGTGTAAACTAATGAAAAGGGAGAGAGAACGAATAGGGGCATTTGGGGGGGCACCCCCTTTGTTTTGTTTTTCCCAAAGTTGTGCCCTTCCATGGGTTAGAAACTTTGCCCAAACGCAGGGGATGCATACGTACATGCGCGCAGACGCAGCAGGGTTGATTCGCTACCCCTTTTTTACAAGATTCAATTTGGCAGAGCATTCTTTTGGACCTCTAAAGATCGACCATGTCTATAACACATTCGAAAAATTCGAAAAGAAACAAAATTTCACCATTCACGTCTGCTCTCTGGATAGGAGAAGCAAAACATAATTTGTAGTAAAAAATGTGTACACTGTGTAAACGTTCTTATCAATTTTAAATCCATCTGAAGCATCCCCCCTTCATCCAGTTCTTTTAGTTATTAATATAGTGGCCATATCCAACCGTTTTTATGCTACGTGTTTGCGTTTTTTTTTTTTTTTTATTTTATTTTTGATAAGAAAGCGTACTACTAATGCATTTTTTCGGATTATTCGTTTAAACCAAGTGATGCGTGAAAAATATGTTCCCTTTTTTCATTTGTTTTTACAACCTAGCAGAAGCAGTTTTTGCCTAATTGAAAGATCAATTATGCGTTAAACTATTCTTGACGTTTGTTAAGTGCTTTAATTCAATGCAAATATTTTTTCTTAATTTTTTTTAATTTTTTAACTTTTTTTATTTTTTTTAAGTTGCAAAAGGAAAAACTTTAATTCAATTTTTAAGTATTTTCCCATTTGAAGCTGTGGAAAAAAATAAAATGTATGTGTACATTTACACATACCATGGAAAGATATTTATCTTCGTTATTATATAAATATGAATGCGCGTTCATTTTATTGCTATTATATAATAATAAATGAAGAAAACGTGGGTTCTTCACCCTTCCCTAAATACATCTTGCTTCAGAAGTGACGGCGACTTCGATTGTCAAACAAATGTTAAGTTCAACATTTATCTGAAACAATGGAAAGTACTCGTGCGCA